CCGGAAACTTTTTTTTTTTTTTTTTTTTTTTTTTTTTTTGAAAGCGCTGTGAGGTAGGGATGATATATAACGCACCTGGTAGTTGCTGTTGACGCAGAAACATTGCGTCATCATCGAACCTGCAAGCAGCAAACGAAACCGAATACGAAACAGAACAACAGCAAAGTGCAAACACGTGCAAACTTGCAAAGTAGCAAAGAGAAGAAAGCAGAAAAAGTGCAGTGTTGTCCATAAATAGTGAAATCTCGAAGTTAATCAAATGAGCATCATATGCTCATTTGGAGTCTAGAAGCGACACCATCCAAAAAGCACAACCAGTGTCACTCACCCAAATCTACTTCTGTCCACCTCCATCGACAATTTTGTCACCACCCTCCTCACTCCCCTTATCCTCGCCCCCTTCTTCTTCACTCCCAACATGGTCCTCACATTGATCTTCCCCACTTGCAGATGATGCAAAAGGTGAAGATAACGACGACGATAATGATGAAGAGGAGGACGATTCTTCACACTCGTCATCATCGAGGATCACCGCCGTCCGCTTCCCCCTCTGTTTCATTGCCTCCTTTGTGACCAGGCGGGAGGATGTCGGGGCATCCGCAGATGCAGCAGCCGCTCTCCTGGCAACTTTCTTAGCAGCTCTCGCTGTTGCTCTCCTTGCTGCTTTCTTAGCAGCTTTCTCTACCACTGCAGCCTTCTTCGCAGCCTTCTCCGCTTTTTTCTTCTCGGCCACTTCGGCATTGGTGGGGCGTCCTCTCTTCTTCTTCTTCGGCGGCGAAAGTTGTTCTTCGGCCGGACGCTTTTCGACAGCACGGACTTCAACATGCTGTTGTCGTTTTGCTCCGCTGCTGCCCCCTGGGCATCTACCTTCCACCCAATCGCCTGTCTTTCGTGCCCGCAATGCGCGCTCTCGCTCCTCGACGTTGTACTCCACTAAGGGGTCTGGTCGCTCGTGCCCTGATCTCCTCCTAAACAAGCGCTCTCTATGCATCCCCGGTGTAGTGCAGAACTGCCACTCGTTCGTATAGTTCTCAATATGAGCGATGTCATCCTCTTCGTCTATCATGTCGTCAAGTCGGTCATTGCACACCCATCTCCTTGCCAAAGGCAGATCACCTTCGCCGTCCAGCTCTGCAATGACAGCGCTATCATCCTCTGCGCCAGCCTCCATATCCTGCTCGCCTTTACTTTCTGCACCCACTCGTTATAATAGCGCTCTGTCTCCGCCTCTGCATCTGGTAAGTCCTCCATGCACGGGATGTGGACATCGTCTTCGCCCTTGCCTCCACTGCAGGTGGAGATTCCAATTATTGTACACAAGCTTGTCGAGACGGCCCGACAGCAACTTCGTCCTCCTCCTGCCGAAAATGAGTTCGTGCAAACCCAATTGCGCTCACAAGCAGCAGGCGAGCTTGCCTGTCCTAACAGCTTGATCGCTTGGGGCTGCAAGAGGTTCAAGCGTGACGCGAACGAGTCCCACCACATGGACGGGATCTTCAATCGCGCGCCATTCAATGCCTCCCTCGACCCCAATGCACCCTCCATGCGAACCTAGTCATCCACTTGCCAACTGATATCCTTCAAATCGTCCGACGAGGCCCATGTGTACAACCATATGTTGAACCCTGCCCGGATCTCCGTATCGTGGATGACAGACTGTGCATGGAACTCCGGATCCAAAAACGCGGCTGCACAATGCAGCTCCGACGTCATGAATGCCCATCGATCCATGAGGATCGATTCCACTTCTGCTTTCTCAAAGTCCGTAAGGACTTCCAACGTCCGAATCCCCTCCACCACAGCGTCCATATGATGATAAACCTTGTTGATGGTGGCCCCTGGACCATCCACCATCCTCAATAACTTCACAATAGCCTCCGTGGCTTTGATGGACTTCTCAACATCGTCCCAAAAGCTCTCGTCAAGGATAGTGGCCGTGGCTTCCTCAAAGTTGGACGGCAGATCAGTCCGCACCATGCTAGACACCCAGCCCTTCGCACCTGCGGCAAGTTTGAGGGCATTCTTTCCGTCCCAAAGGGACTGCATCATGATAATATTCGTTGCGAATCTTGTCACTCCTGGCCTCTTTATTTGTGCCCCGCCAGAACGTTCAAGGAAGAATGCACGAACCTTGTCGTGGTTCATGATGAACTTCCCCAACTCGTTCGCTTTCTTGACCGTCCTAGAAAACCATCCAATGCGCTTGTCGAAGTCCTTCAATGCAAGGTCGAGGGCATGCGCTGTGCAGCCAACCCTGAAGATCCAAGGGTACTTCTTTTCAACAAGCTTCCCCGCCTTGACGCAAACTCTAGCATTGTCCATGATCACCCCGACCACACTCTTGGGTCCAATGTCCTGGATTGCGGCATCCAGAATGTTGGAGTACGCTTTGGAGTCCTTCTCCTTCCCTTCTACACAAACGGACCTCCAAAAGACGGTCCCTACAGGGGAGGAGACCATCACATTGATGTGCGGTCTCCCTCGCCTGTTGGACCACCCATCCATCTGCACCATACACCCTGTTCTCTCCCACTTCTTTGCAATCATCCGCACATCCTCGATGCACCTCTTGTTCTGGCCATCGAGTCTACCATTCCCTGCGGCCTCCCTGCTGTGCATCCGCCATGAGGGATGGGCATTTCGTATAGCATTTACCATGTCAAGGTAAAATTCATTCTCGACCATGTTGAAAGGTTGGTTCGTGCAGGTCAGCTAGTTGTCGACCTTCCTTGACGTCATCTCGTTCTTCATGATGATGTTGTCTGTCTCCTCCAGCACCATTTGCCGCACAGATGAAGCAGATTCGTCGCGTGTCGGATGCTGCACCCCCTTTTCCCATGCCCCTACCCACATTCTCCGCAGCCGTTGGTGCAGTAGCCAAACTAGATCCACTAGGAAGACTGTTGTTGCCATTCACCATCGCCACGTCAGCCAGAGTCTGTCTCAACCCCTGCTTCCTTGCTTATTTTTCTTCATCTGTGAAAACCTTCCTGCTCTGCTCCGTCGCACAGGTTCCCTTTGAGTAATATTCCTTGACACGGTTCAGGCTGCCCGAGAATGTCAAATCGCAGTACTTGCAGACCCACCATTTGCCACCCTTGCTTGGATCTTTCCCTGCGACCCCATCCACGTTGCAATGCCGCTTTACCATAGCAGAAGTGTACTTGGTACTCGCCATTCTGACCTACAGACAGGGGGAACCGTCGGACAGCAACCGGGAAATCAACCTCATCCCGCATCGTCTCAAAACTTGGCACCACCTCCTACCACGCTAGACCGCCTCCTACCACACTAACCACCTTAAAACTCCATTAAATTAGCACTTCGGTGGCGGATGAAAGATGGACAGGGAGGGGTGGAGGAGGAGATACCAGTCAACTTGGAAGTTCACACCAGAAAAGCTAGCGAGACCTTGGGATGGAGGAGGAGGAGGAGGAGGAGAGGAGGAGAGATGGACAAGGAGGTGGAGGAGTAGGATATCCGAAGGAGGAGGAGGCACCATTGCAGTTCCATGTTTCAAT